AGGCGCGATGCAGTCTGCACATGAAGGAACTCTATTCCATACTGCCACACACACACACCTATATGTACTAACTGTAGATTGTGACACTCAGAGACATCCTAGGACACCAGACAAGAGAACATACTGAATGTGTGATTCTGCTCAGTGTATCCTGTGAATTGTTGTCCCACATTCTGTTTCCTGCAGTGTTTCAATTAATTCCCCATAAGAGAGAGACTCTACTCAGAATTGTAGAGAAACTGACGTTGGGATTCAAAAGGAAGTGGAATGACAGTGCCAGGCAAAGGGTACTAACATTTATAAGTCACTGTAGATGAATTGGTCTTTCTGTATCATATTCCAATTTAGGACTGAATAGATTGTGTGCCCATCACCCCATTGTGACAGAATATACTCCCGTGTTCACTATTGTAATAATCTTTGTCCAAAGTATGCCTTGTGAGCTACTACTTGAAAACTCATAATTTGCTGCTCATTATCGTCCTGGTAAAATATGTGTGGCCACATTGTTTGTGAAGTTATAAGATGCCACTGTATGGTGCTGTTAACACATGTTCCAAACCACAGTCCTGCCCAAACAGAAGTTGGCAAACAGGTCTGTCTCAAACAAAACAATGTGTGTTTGTTTATTGCTTAAATGCAAATTAAGCAGGAGTCATCAAGCAGGAAAGGAGACAAAGGGCAAGCTAATGCCCTCAGCCAGGTGTAAACAAGACCATTGCCTTTTAAGTGACTATTCTTTGGCAGGAAAAAGGGCATGGGCAAAAAGAAGCTACATCTTGGCAAAGAAATAGCATGGCATTCCCTTCCACACAGACCACCTATTGCCTTTACTCCCAGCTAGAAATGCTTCTCAAAGGGGGGATAGGAGTATAAAAAGAAGGGGCAGACACCCCAAGGCAGTTCTTCTCCTCGCTCTCTCAATTCACTGCACGAGACGGGACGAAGGAAGCAGCCATCGCACAGAGTAAGGGGTCCTGGCCTAAGAAGTTTGGCCAGTAAGAGTATTGAGAGCATGTGGTAGGGAAAAAAACTTTACTTTGAATTTAACATAGTTTGTTAAGTTTGGCATTAGTTCTGTTTTATCTTTATTTTTCTTGTAACCATTTCTGGCTTTTATGCCTCACTACTTGTATTCACTTAAAATCTCTCTTTGTAGTTAATAAGCTTGTTTTATTGTTTTACCTAATCCAGTCTGTTTAAATAGAAGTGTTTTGGAAACTCTATCTGGGATAACAAGATGTGTATATATTATTTCCATTGATGAAACAACAGACCTTTATAAATTTGTATTGTCCAGGATAGGCTGGGAAATATAGCACATACATTTCTGGGCAAAAAAAATCTGGGACTGGAAGTGTGCTGGGGTCACCCTGAAGTATAATTCAGACTGGTAAGAACCTATGTGTGACTGGAAGACTGCAGTATACACACATACACAACTGGGAGTGACTTGCATGCTGGAAGCGGTTTGTGACCATCCAGGATGGAAGCTATAGCAGCAAAGCATTGTAAATGGTACCTCAGGTTAGAAGGCAAGCAAGGCAGGGCATGCACAAAAATTTAACTGATCGTGCCCCCCCTCCTCCAGCAGGAGTTTTCTCTTCCCTCCCTCCACCTCACCGTAGCAAGCGCTTGCTCTTCCTCCCCCCCGGCCCAACAGGGGCTCGCTCACTCTTCCTTTCCTCGCCCCACAGCCCCAGGGCTGGAGGAGTTCTGTGCCCCTGATGATTATTGGGGGAGGGCATGCCCCTGCTTGCCCCCCCTTTTGCATACCCCGGGGCGGGGGGTCACACAGCTACTCATTAGTCTGGATTGTAACTCTGGGTACGTCAGACCCGTGAAAGACAGTTATGCATTGTGAATAAATTTCTAAGGAAAAACAACAGCGAGGCTAGGATAAATTTTTTGAGGAGTCACATCCACACTAATTAGAGTCAATTATCTATTTCTGACCTGTGCGTTATACTGATATTCCGTACAGTCAGAATCTTCATCAGCCAATAAAATTCCTTCATTCACAACTTTAAAGAGAGATGATAAACTTCAAGGCTTAGGTTTCTACTAGAGCTATCAAGCGATAAAAAAAAATTAATCACAATTAATGGCACTGTTAAACAGCATAAATAGAATACCATTTATTTAAATATTTTTGGATGTTTTCCACATTTTCAAATATATTGATTTCAATTACAACACAGAATACGAAGTATACAGTCTTCACTTTATATTATTTTTATTACAAATAGTAGCACTGTAAAAAACAAAAGAAAGTATTTTTCAATTCACCTAATACAAGTACTGTAATGCAATCTCTTTATCATGAAAGTTGAACTTACAAATATAGAATAATATACAAAAAATAACTGCACTTAAAAATAAAACAATGTAAAAATTTAGCGCCTACAAGTCCACTCAGTCCTACATCTTGTTCAGCTAATTGCTCAGAAGAAGTGAGGTTTTTACCCATGAAAGCTTATGTCCAAATAAATCTGTTAGTCTTTAAGGTGCCACCAGACTCCTTGTTGTTTTCGCTCAGATAAGTTTGTTTACATTTGCAGGAGATAATGCTGCCTGCTTCTTGTTTAAAATGTCACCTGAAAGTGACAACAGGTGTTCCCATGGCACCGTTATAGCCGGCATTGCAAGATATTTATGTGCCAGATGCGCTAAAGATTTATATGTCCTTTCATGCTTCAACCACCATTCCAGAGGATATGCGTCCATGCTGATGATGGTTTCTTCTCAAGAACAATCTAACGCAGTGCGGACTGACGCATGTTTATTTTCATTATCTGAGTCAGATGCCACCAGCAGCAGGTTGATTTTCTTTTTTGGTGGTTCGGATTCTGTAGTTTCCACATCAAAAAGTGTTGCTCTTTTAAGACTTCTGAAAGCATGCTCCATACCTCGTTCCTCTCAGATTTTGGATGGCATTTCAGATTCTTAAACCTTGGGTCGAGTGCTGTAGCTATCTTTAGAAATCTCACATTGGTACCATTTTGTGTTTTGTCAAATCTGCAGTGAAAGTGTTCTTAAATGAACAACATGCTGGGTCATCATCCAAGACTACTATAACATGAAATATATGGCAGAATGCAATTAAAACACAGCGCAGGAGACATACAACTCTCCCCCAAGGAGTTCAGTCACAAATTTAATTAACACATTTTTTTTTAAACGAGTGTTATCACCATGAAATCATGTCCTCTGGAATGATGGCCGAAGCATGAAGAGGCATACGAATGTTCAGCATATCTGGCATGTAAATACCTTGCAATGCCGGCTACAAAAGTGCTATGGGAACGCCTGTTCTCACTTTCAGGTGACATTGTAAATAAGTGGATAGCATTATCTCCCCTAAATATAAACAAACTTGTTTGTCTTAGCGATTGGCTGAACAAAAAGTAGAACTGAGTGAACTTGTAGGCTCTAAAGTTTTACATTGTTTTGTTTTTGAGTGCAGTTATGTAACAAAAAAAAATCTACATTTATTAGTTGCACTTTCACAATAAAGAGATTGCCCTACAGTACTTCTCTGAGGTGAATTGCAAAATACTATTTCTTTTGTTTATTTTTACAGTGCAAATATTTGTAATCAAAAATATAAAGTGAGCACTGTACACTTTATATTCTGTGCTGAAATTGAAATCAATACATTTGAAACTGTAGAAAAACATCAGAAAGTATTTAATAAATTTCAATTGGTATTCTATTGTTTAACAGTTTGATTAAAACTGATTAATCGAGATTTTTTTAATTGCGATTAATTTTTGTTAATTGCATGAGTTAACTGTGATTAATCAACAGCCCTAGTTTCTACTATTCATGTGGGATTTTAAAAATAGGTATGTGAATTCAATCAAACTGATGCGGACACTGAACTTAGTAAAGTCAAAGAAGCCTATAGCAGTAGCTTCATAGTTGTAGATGTTAATGGACATCAGTAGTTCTTTTTCATCGCAAGCTAAAAAAAAAAAAAAATCAAAAAAGAAAAATCTCTGTATTGCACCACAGAAACCCCTGATTAGAAGAACACTGCCTAAGGCAAACCCCAGAGGTGGCAGCAACTTGAAATAAAATCAGTATAGAAAAACTAGGTTGATGCAATATTTAGGAATGGGATTCAGAAGTACAAAGTTCAGAACTTTCTTAAGTGAAGGAGCATGATCCTGAACTGCCTTACACTGATGTTACAGATTAAGTTACCCATGATTTACACCACTGTACGATCAGAATCAGGCCCACAGTAACATTATCTCAGAAACAGCTGAATATATAGGACCAGCTTCTATGCTACTCTAATTTACATTGGCTGCTAATAACCCCAAAGGGCCAATACTGCAGCTGAAGATTTGCCTTAGCACATAGGTATCTCTCCTCTGGTTGTGTTCTCTATGCTGTGAGTAGGGATGGGGGGATGCCATAGAAGCCAAGCCAGCTCTGTGCCACCAGAGGATTCCCCTTTGCATTAGAGATGATTCTCCGAGAGTCAGTTACGCCAGCTTTATGGTCATATTCCACCAATGTGGTGGTGCAAAAGAGCAGCCTCACATCTGAGGATCTAGCTGATGTTTGTTCAGACTTTCCAAAAACATTCAGCTTTGGGCTGAGACAAAGTATGAGAAATTTCAGCCCAGAGGGATGCGTGTTTAAGTTATAAATGACTGACAAGGGATTTAGCATGAAATGCCCATCCCAGCCTTGACCAAAAAGGTCACCACTAGTACACTATAATTAATTGTCTTACAATACTGCAAAAAAAAAAAAATGTACAACAGGTTTTAGTGACCCTTCACAGTTTTCACCTACCTCAAGGCAGTTTCTATTTGTCAAGAGTCATACCAGGATTTTAAAATAACCTCAACAGAAACCACTTTGATTATTTGTCTTGGGAAACTGACAATGCCAGAAGCAAAGTTGACGAAATCATTATTGGTTTTGCTATAGCTTAATATGGCTTTTTCCATGACGATGCCACTCCTAACAATCTGGAATTTTCTTCCACAGCTTGTGTTTAAGGTCATCTCTCTCCAAGGCAGTGTGCGGGAATTGATTAATGAGAATGGTACAGCCATTGACAACCCCAAATCCCAACTCTGAGCATGCTGTCCGGACATTTTATTTTGCAATGTCCTGTTTCTGGGAAGCTTCAAGAGTGGGCGGAGGCCAGTGGATTCTTTTAAATAGAACCTGAACTCCCTTTCAGCTGGCCACTAGAAACTTCCCTCTTGCTTCCTGACACTTGCACTTCACTTAAGGCACCAAGTCAACCATGCTGAGAAAGATGTTGATCCTTTCAGCATTACTGGCTGTGTTTCTAGTTGATCCGATAAAACCACAAGGTAAATCAAACTCATTATAGACTCATAGGATAGGTTCCAAGGCCTGAAGGAAAATACAGTCTCAGGATTTTTGTTACGTTAGTGGCATAGAGCCAAATTAGTCTCTGGTAAAACTCTTAATTTGGAAGGATGAATTTGGCCCATGATCTTTCCTCCTCCAACGGCCACAGTTGTCTTCTCTGGGCAAACTGGCACCTGGAGCCTCTCAAAGTTTTCAAATTTGGTTGCTTATAGGTAGGCATCTAAATCTATATTAGGCACCTAGGTAAGTAGCCTTATTTTCAAAGATGCTGAACACCCATGACACCCATTCATGTCAATTTTGTTTTTCCAGAGGCATTGATTACCTGTCTGTCTGGGGACCGAAGCATGGAGCCGAGCATAAAGCCAAGCACGGAATCAAGCATGGAGACTACTGGAGAGCCCAGCGGGGAAGGAAGTGGAGAGCCCAGTGGGGAACCAAGTAGAGAGCCCAGTGCGGAACCAAGTTCAGAGTCCACCAGAGAGCCAAGCACAGAGTCCACCAGAGAGCCAAGCACAGAGTCCACCAGAGAGCCAAGCACAGAGTCCACCAGAGAGCCAAGTGTCAAACCAACCAAAGAACCCAGCACAAAACCAACCAAAGAGCCAAGCACAGAACCTCCCAGTAAGTTAATTCTGACTTTTACTCACCCTTTATCGTCTCCTCTGGTTTTCCCCACAACCCCCACCCCAATCTTTGCTGCACTGGTGGGGCCAGATATGCATAGGTCCTTCAGTGGGGTCAGGGGGAAAGGAGGAGTACGTTGGGGAGCCACTGCTTCCCCCTTTGTGCCCTGGTATGTTTCTGCCAGGTTTTGATCCCCTCCATGTGTTGGCTCGGACAATAGTTGATTTGGATTTCTCTGTTCCTTTATTGTTCATATTGCTCATTCTGTCTTACCCACTAAGAGCTACTGCCTTGTTAGTCCCACATCCCCTGCTCTAACACTGACAGATAGTTTAGTGTCTTGTCTGAGCTAGGAAAAGTAGATTCCACCACTAGTGTAGTTTCAGTAAGGGGAGCAGAGCTGGAGGCTGTAGCAGAGACAGAAGTCAGTTGGTTTTACTAGTGAGCAATCTAACCTGGCTAGATGACATGGGAGTCAAACCACTGGAGCTAAGTTTACACTACTGCCTCCACCCCTGCTGCCAGTGGGGAAGAATTATGAGTCCCACATTCCTAATAGATATATAGATTTGCAGGCTGAAGCACCCAAGGTGAAATGCCACTGACAGCTCCCCCTACTTGCCCTTTTGGCACCTGGAAGTTATCATCAATGATGTAATGCAAACTGCTGTGTCCTATATCCCCTTTCTCCCTGTGAACACCTCTTCTGTCTGCTCAGCGTGAGATTTATTGACATCAGAACTCTGGCTTCCTACTAGCAGCACCAGCTCCAAGCCCCCTACCACTGGCAGCTCTGGGTTGGTGAAATAGAGCTGTTACCTCTTGCCCTAAGACAGGCCCCATAACACAGGACTATGGGAAACACACATAGGAAGATGCTGAATTTTTCATTAGATACAATGATTTCGCTGCTAACCACCAATTGAGTTCTCTACCCCGACAGAAAGTAATACCTAGATTCAGTGGACCCATAGGTTCAAATCCCAGCAAGGACAACTCAACCCTTCCTCCTACTGAGGCTGCTAACTTAATTACCAGTCATTTTACTGGCGGAAAGATGTATTGTAGATGAGACCTTATTAACTGGAATCCTCTAAGGGCATAGGACAATCTTGTGCCTATTGAAGACCCCGTGGTACTTTTCAGAAATACACATACTTGACTTGGTCAAACACCACAGGATCCCCATCTCCTTTTCCCAGAGGTGGCTCCATTTCAGTAGTGTTGTACATACAGCACTTTGTGAAGTCCTTTGTGAAGAACAAGGCTATTAATTGTGCAATCGTAACTCCTACGGGGGGATGGCAAAGGGCTTCGTCTCTATACTCCATAAATCAGCAGAACTTTTTCTCATTCATACTTTTGTTTTTGCCTTTAGAATAAATTGCAAAATTAATCCCGACAGAAGACATGACCAACCCCTGCTGCTGGCTTTGGCTCCAATGAAGAAAAATTCCAGTTGATGGGATGACAAAATAAAACTTGCTATAGTTTTAGAAGCTACAACTTGTAGAAAATTAGCAACAATTGGTTGGGTTTCAAGAGATCGCCAATCTATGCCCGCTTATAATTTATCTGGGACAGGTTAGACAGATCACAGCTGACATGTACCAGTTATAATGTAGCAACTGTCCCCCTTATCCTCTGCATTACTAGTGGAGATCTCTGGATCTCCTGGGAGTGCTATTCCCCTTGTTGTAATAATCTTAAAAAAAAAAAGAATGACATTACCATAATGTACATTGTTATTGTTGCAAATGGCAGCCTGTCTTCTGCTAAAACTGCCAGCTTTGGTGTGTGTGGGGGATTTTTCTATCTCCCATCACATTATTTCATAACACACCCCACTAACTGTTAATCTCTGCATAAACCTATGTGCAAATCTTGGGATGCAGGTAAGATGTGAATGTGAACGAGAGAGAAAGCCTTCTTACAGGCTCCAACAGGGACTCTGAATCCACTTTCCTGCACCACATTTTCACTCATGAAAAGTTTGGATTTTTTTTTCAGATGTTGTAACTGCATTTCTAGTGCAGGAACAGTGGCTTGGAGTCTTCTGTTTATCCACAGACTGGTTACTGTACAGCTGTAGCATAAACTTCCTCGCACTGCTTTACCTTTCTGACCAATACTGGGCTAAAGAAGATAGTTTACTCCCCTTGTCCCTTCATTCCTTAACCACTCTACCTGCAAGAGTGCTTGTTATTGCCAATTGTGATGGTAACATGGAAAATTGTCTTTGGGGTTTTCATTGTTCTTGTATCTTCACACTTATAGGTAAATAAACATCAGGCATTTTACCAGCTGCTGTGCAAGTTAATCAACAAAAACAGATAGGAATAGAGAAGGGAAAATTACTCCTGGTAGAGATTTCAGATGTGAAGTTTAAAGAGTTATTAGAAACAAGAACAAGAGTAAATATATAATCCAAATATCCTTCTGGTGATCTCCTTAATACTTTGAGTATGTACTGTGAGCTGGAACTGATCCCCACATTATTATTAGTTGATTAGACAGCAGGTTTAATGCTGTATAGGACAAAGACACTAGCTCTCAAACAAAACAACATGCACCTATAGTGCTCCCAGAAAAAAGGGGAAAAAAAAAACGGTTCCACAGGACAGCATGGAATGTTTTAACAACACTTCTTAGCTGAGCAGATTAGGGGTTAATAGGCCTCATGAATAGGGTGACCAGATCACCCAGGTCAAATATCGGGAGGTGAGGAGGGCAGGGCGGGGCAAAAAAAAAAAAAAAAAGACGGCAGAGCAAAAAAACAACCCCCCCCCTTCCTCCTCCCTCCACAAGCACTGGGGGGCGGTCCCAGAGACGCAGGGGCGCAGTGAGTGAGAGTCCGGCCTGGCCCCAAGCGCAGGCAAGACTGTCAGATGGTACCTGGAGGGAGAGTAGGGGGCGGCCCGCGGGGCTAGGCAGCGGCTGTTCTCCCCACCTGGGCAGTGGGACTCGGGAGCAGCTGCTGCTGCAGCTCCCACTGCGGTGTGGGGAGGAAGTGGCCGCTGGCCAAGCTCGGCAGCTACGGCTCTGGCGCCCGCGAACCCCCCGAACCTGGGCCTGTAGCGGGGACCCAGCAGCGCGCCCGCTGCACCCACCCAGCCCTTGGCCAGTCGCGTCTGGGCTGGCTGCCCAGCTGCTGCAATCCCGCAGGCGGCCCCGGAGTGGGGGCAGCAGGCCCCAGCCCCCCCGTCCCGCTCAACTCCTGCCGGGGAACGAACAGGGCTGGGCTGGGCTGCTGATGCCAGGGCTTGTGAAGGGAGAAGGAATGGCGTGCTTGGGGAAGAGGCAGGGATTTGGGGAGGGAGCCAATGGGGGGGGGAGAGGGGGCGGAGTCGGGGCGGGGGGGCACGAGCACTTCCGGGCTCCGGAGCGTTTGCTTGTTTGTCCAGTGTCCCGACCTAACATTGGTTGGGACGCGGGACAAATAAGCAAATATCGGGACAGTCCCGATAAAATCGGGACGTCTGGTCACCCTACTCATGAAAAACTTATTTTTAGGGAAGCAAATGAAAAGTTTTCATGCTCTTTTCTAGATTGTGTTGAGTGCTAGTATTAGGTCAGACAATTCAGTCCTGGGGGTAGGGGTCTACTCCCAGCTCTAACAACTCATTTCCTGAGTGATTTTCTTTTAACCTCTCCATGCCTCCGAGACCCAGCTGTAAAATTGGAATGCTATCACTTACGTATCCCGCCCTGGATGTTACGAGCCTTCATATATACACACACACATAAATCACTGTGAGATGCTTGGAAGATATGAAGGTAATACTTGGTGCTCTGTATTAACGTATTTCAGCTCATATCACATTCCAGAGTGTGCTTTGAAATACCATGCTTTCACTCCATGACAAATTTTTTGTTTTACCAGCAAACCAGAAAATTGCTGATGTTGAAATGGGGTAACAGCCTCCAGTCACATTTTTTAAGGCACCAAATCAACATGGATATATATATTAAGTAATAAAAGGACTGGAAGGTGCATGTAGCTCAATGTCCTGGGGGCATTTCTAGAGCTCCTCTGGGACCTTCTTCATGTATCGTTCATAGGATTGATGGAAAATTGACGGCAGGTAGGCAATGTGCAAGTAATTCAAACAGTAACAAAATTAGAGCGTGTTTAATAACAAAAAAAAACCACTCCACACATATTGGGAAAAATGCTTTGGTTTGAAATGGATAAAACCGCCCCATGATGGTACCATACACTAAGGCCTGGAAACAGAAGATTTTACACATTACACAAGGTCGGCCAGACCAACTCTACAACAACAAACTGCATAGCACAGTCCAGATTATCCTATTGCATGGGGTGAATGTCTCCCCAAGATGAAGGGATTTGTGTTTCAGAGGTGACGAATAGGTTGGGGGAGAAAAAGTGGGGCAAGTCCAGTTCTCAGGGCCAAAATAATGAAGGGCAGAAAGTTGTGCACTCCTGTTTACCAGGTCTCACAATACAATCAATTAGGAGACAATCAATGAAACTGAAAAGCAGCAAGTTTAAAACTGATAAAGGGATCTTATTTTTAAACTCAGAATGAATAATTATGCTGCACAACTCACTGACACGACCTACTTGAGGCCAAGAACTTAGTGAGACTGTATGAAAAATTAATATAGAACATCCGTACCCATATCAGACAGGAAATTACAAAACAGAAGAGTGATAAACCTTCATCCGTCTGTACAAGCTATCCTGCATGTGACTGGGGTTAGAGAAAAACTTCCCATATGGACAGCTTATTTCACACACTGTTCACTGTGAGGTTTCTTGCACATTCTGGTACTGGCCGGATAAAGGACATTATGGTCCACTAGTCTGAACTGCTATGTACTATTGAAAACTCAGTGGGGTTTGAGCTGCCCTTTCACCCCCCCACTATAGAAAGAAAAAATGCTCCTGTCTTTAAGAATGGGGATACCCAACAACAGGAATGTAAAGGACCTCTCTCTAACTCCCTATTTATAGAACAGTAACATTTCACAGAAGACTGCAGTTTAGCTTTACCAAAACACATCTACCATACACAACCATCTTCTTCCCAAATCCATGTATGAGGGAACCAGGATATTATACCAGAAGGGTAGGCTATCTTTATTTAGCATGTCCAAAATTCTGTACTCCTTTTTACTGAGTATATTTATCCTTATTTCTTCATTCCTTCTGAGCAAAGGAACCTCAGGAGACAACTGTGGGCAACTGTTATGATTTTGTGTTACACTGCTAAACCTCTGTGTGAATAATTTGGACATGTGTTCATAAACAGCTCAACTACAGTCACATTAACTTACCCAGTTATAAACCTCTACAGATAGGGGAGAAGATATTTAATTAGCACAAACATGTGCAAATTTCACTGGCCTTGTCTATACCTCAAGAATTACCTCACTGATTAGAGGGGAAAAAACAACAGATGTATCTGAACACTATTTAACTGCAAAGGTACAGAGGACAAACTTCAGGTTTCAGAGTAGCAGCCGTGTTAGTCTGTATCCGCAAAAAGAACAGGAGTACTTGTGGCACCTTAGAGACTAACAAATGTTGACCAGAAACCATAGCTATACCTATAAGTCACATGCTTTCCCAGTTTTTTCACCCTCTATGTAGTCTGCATATATTTCTCTCTCTCTAAAGGTAAAGTGAGTGCTGCAAATTCCTCTGCTCTCCTCCCCACCCCCCAACAATGTATCAAGCATTGCCCTTGGAGAGCCAAACATAAAGGAATGCCCTTCATTTGAACTACAAGTGGCAGGGATAAAGATACCTTTCCAACAACTGAACAAAATATTCAGCAGGTACTTTCTAGCCATCTTGATAAAATGTATTGCTCAGTGCTCCATTTTTCACTCTGGCATTCCTTCATTGTCCATTGTGAACAAAATACTAATCATAAACAGTTATCAGCAATGATGTGACAAACATCTAAACAATATTAACATTTGAAATGAGTTACATAAGTGTTCCCTTTTTGATAAGACCGAAGACTAAATAAAATGTTTTTTTTTAATTCTCCACTTTACAGTGTCTGGACAGCGATGGCATCAACCACCACTGAAATACCTCTGCTATTATGAAATGAGTAATCAGCAGCTACCTACCCACCCTATTTCTCCAAATCAGCATTATCTCTCCCTCCCCCCCCCCCCCCACACACACACACACACACACGGACG